AGTCCCAGTCCCCAGTGGGACTTTAAGGATGCTCTGAATGCTGGAGCATGTCCAGGAGATTAGCATTGGGGAAAAGTCAGCCTTCTGGGAAGGTGGAGGTAGAAAGAAGGAGAAGAGCCCATGACCTCCAAAGGATGCTTCTAGGTCCCAAAGAGGGGGTGACTGCATTCTGGGACTCTGGAAATGACTGGAAGCATGGGAAATGATACTTTCCTCTAGAGGCTTGCAAAGAACTAGCATCTGTTTATAAGAGAACAGATGTTCCCTCACACAGAGTGGATAGGGTTGACACCAGTTCTTAACCTGGGAGCAACCCCCTTGGAATTCTAACTATGCATTCATCCAGTGAGTTTTTATTGACCATCTATTAGTGCCAGCCCTTTGAACATATTCCTGATTAGCGTACACATACATTTTCCTGCCCTCATTGGCTTCTCAAAAAGGCTCTGCAACTACCCTAAGATGAAGACCTTCAGGTTAGACAGAAGTCCTGCTTGCTGCAGGGAGGGGTTGGAACAGGGACCTGGTGGGGTGGGATGTAGGGCTTTTCATGCTTTTGCTTGTTCAGCATCCATTCCCTGGCAGCAGAACTCTAGCTTCCTTTAGGAAATATAATCACAGCTTTGAAGGGAAGTGTCACTCCAAATGACACAAGGAACCGAACACCTTGATGAGAAATTTTACTCATTAGTGTGGAAAAGCACAGCTGTAGGTAGGTAACTGTAGGTAACTGAAAAGTGCTGGCCTTAGAGTTGGAAGCCTGAGGTTGAACTGTGGCTCTGTTACGTATTTATTTTATTTTTTTTTCATTTTCTGTTATTTATTAATAGAGCTTTTAGAATGTTATCCTTAGACCTCTGATTCAGAAGGCTAACCATATCCTACAGATAAGAGAAGCACCTCCAAGACCACACCATAGTACATATCCTAGGATTTTTCCTTGTCAAGAACTGCCTCCCCTGGGGAACCTCAATTTCACATGTCATCTGTCCACTACTGCCTATCTTTCCACTTACTTTCTCCAGCACACCAGCAATTGCACCTAAAATCCCTGGATCTTTTCTGTGTTCCCCACCCGCCTCCACCCCAACTTTTCTCCTTACTCTGACTGCATCCCCATGTGCATCATCATGACCACTCCTTTGCCTAAAGCTTGGCTCCCTTGCCCCTCCTTTACCTTATCTTATTTGCCTGATGAATCTTCAATCCTGGTTAATCTCTCTCTCCATTTTCTCCCCAGCTGCACTTAGAGTGGCTGGAAAACAAAAGTACTCAGTCACACTCTAACGGCCGTGTCCCTTCCTCCCCAAAGGAGGACTGGATGCTGCCCTGCAAGCCTATTATACCACTGGGCCCACCTTTCTCCCATGGTCTGGGTTGATAAATTCATACCTTCTCTTTTTGCCTCCAATCTCAGCATCCCCTTTCCATTTTTCATTCTCAGCTTCCTATTGCTCTGGAAAAACAGACACCATCAGAAGAAAACATCCTCAGCTCTCAGCACAGACCTAATATATTTGACTTGTACAGGCCACCTTTCTCCTGTGTCTCAGAGGAACTCTGCTGCTCCTGTCCAAGGCCAATCTTGTGCACCTGACCCTACCCTATGCTTCCTCAAGGACTTCACCCATGCATCCTTTCTTTTTCCTTCTGCACCATCAAGTTCCTTTCTCTCCTGGATTATTCTGACCAGCTTGTCTAGCAGCTCTTAGCCTTAAAAAAAAAAAGTCCTACTTCAATCTTCTACCTTCTCCAGTGTTACCTACTGCTCTGCTCCTTTGATAGAAGACTTACCCAGAGGTAGGGTCTCCACCTTCTCTGCCTGCATACTCAATCAGGCAGTTGTCCTCAGCACAAGCGAAATTGTTCTTGTCAAGGTCACCATTGATTTCCATTTTGCCGTTTTTCAAGATGGCTGTTAGTCTGTATCTTATTTGACTTGTCTATAGCACCCCTGGTAGCTAACCAAGTCCTTGGCCTTGAAATGCTTCCTTCTCTGGTCACTCTCACACCTTTGCTTTCTACCACACTGGCCACTCCCTCTCCTCCTTTCCTGCTTCTCTTCCCCACCCTAACCTCTACTCCTGTCATATTCTAGAGCTCCTCTTTCATCTCCTCCTTGGGGATCTTATCCACATGCCTGACTTTAGACATCATCTACATTTTGTTCGTTCTCAAATGTGTGTTTGAGAACCTGCAGCATCCAGGGATAGCATTTGTCTGCTCAGTGTGCTACTCAGATGTCTCACAAGCATGCAATGTGTCCAAAACTGAGGTCCTTATTTCTCTTCCTATCCTGTCTCTCTGAAGTCTTATCACTTTAGAAAATGACAGATCCAATTTTCCAATTGCTCAAGCCAAATTTCTTTCTTTTGGCGGGGGGGACCCTACACCCAATCTGCAAATCTTGTTGGCTTCACCTTTAACATATATTTGTAATCTGAGCATTTCTCTCCACCTTTACTTGACTTCCCTGAGGCTGTACCTCCTCTCCCCCTGGATAGTGCAATAGTTTCCTAACTGGCTTTCCTACTTCTGCCCAAACCACCAATGGATGAGGTTCCACAGTAGGAGGGGAACTGACACAACTGATTGTCGTAGTTACTTTCTCATTGCTGAGACACAGTACCTACAGCCACAGCTGTAAGGAAAAAAGGTTTATTTTGGTTCACAGTTTATAGGGGTTTCAGTCCATAGTTGGCTGGTTCCAAGGCAGGGTGGCATGGCAGAGGGACATGGCAGAAGAGAAACAGCTCATGGCATGGCAGCAGGAAGCAGAGAGAAACTGGGGGTGGAGGGATATATACCTTTCCAGACCATGCCCCCAGTGATCTACCTCCTCCAACCAGGGTTTACCTCCCAATAGCATGTTTAGCTATAAACTCATCAATCAACTGCACTAGTCTACTGATGAGTATCATGCCCCCATGACCCAGTTGCTTCCCCAAAGCCAGTTGCACAGAGCTTATCACATGGTTGTCAGAGCTGCCATGGAAGGTTGTAAACGTTGTTCATTGCATCAGAGCTCCTTGCTGAAGAGCCACAGGGTGTTGATATCCAGCCTATTCTCTGCTTTCCATACCATGAGAGCATCCAGCAGGTTGCCTGGAGCAGTGTGTACTGTATGGGTTAGCTGTGGCTCTGTGGTAGGCATTCAATAAATATTCTTTGAATAAAGGATGGCCTGATGGATGTGTGGACCCTGGCTTATTTTCTTCTCTGGGACTTCATGCCAATTACCTTCTCAAGGCCATGTTTTCTTCATCTGTTAAGGATATAATTAACATCTATCTCACAGCATGCTTATGAGGCTCAAATGAAATAGTTCACTAAAATGCTGGCACAAATATGATTACATTTATGTGAAATATCCAGAACAGTCAAATCCATAGAGACTGAAAGCAGGTTAGTGGTTGCTGGAGGCCGGAGGGCTGCTTACTCAGTGAAGGGTACTCTTGGAGTGAGGAAAGTGCTTTAGAGCTACAGTAATGGTTGCATACTATTACAATCATTTAGTAATATGCTAAATGCTTCTAGATTATATGCTTGAGAATTGCTAAGAGGGTGAATTTTATGTCATGTGAATTAGGTCATGTTATATGAATATCTCCATTAATAAAACCTGCAGTGTTCAACGTTTCCAGTTGAATTTTATGATAAACATATGCCTTCCTTAGGGCCTCCTTGCCTCATCTAGAATGATGTCACTTTTCTCACATTCATTATTTAGAAGCAGTATTTACTGTTTCCATTTATGATAATGAGGATATAAAAACAAGACAGATGAAGATCCGATGTTCAGAGTTCCCAGGCTTGTGAGAGAAACTAAAAAAAAAATCACTGCGCTGTGTGGTCAGGACACGGGAGAGAAGGCCTGCAAGGGCATGGAGGAGAGAAGTGTGTGCCACTCACATCAGGGAGCAGCAGGGAAGGCTGGTCTAGATGAAGAGGCCCCTGAGCTAGGGCCTGGAGATGCATGGGAAGGGCTTGGAGGTGCAGGCTTGGGGAAAGTAGGGGCCCTAGGAAAGGGGGAACAGAGCAGGCAAAGCCTGGGAACAGAGTGAATTCTAGGAATAAAAAACAGCTGGAGCTATTGTGAGGCTGGAGCCTAGTGCAAAAGTGTGGAAGGCCAAGGCACTAGATGAGGGGGAGAGATAGGAAGGGGCTGTTGGTGGTGAGTTAGGACTCTACCCTAAGACTTTCGGGCCCTGCCTGAATTGGCCTTCACTCTCCCACACTTGCTTGTATTAAACAAAGCCCATAGGACTGAGAGATTTCTGAAAGAAAAGGGTTTATGAAGCCATTATAGATACAGTACTATCCAAAAAGGACTTGTCCTGGGATGAGCTGCTATAGCAACCCCCACTCACATCCCCGCCGCCCAAGCAACAAGAGGTAGCAGTTGGAAAAATGTCCACGGGCCTAAAACACCAGAGTACTTACTTTATAATGACAATTTAGGGAAGGCAGGCCCAAATTATTTACACTGCACCCATATTAACTAGCAATAAGAAGGGTGGAATTACACCAACTGGGGAAGGGTACACGGAGAAGTAAGCATTGGCTCTGGATTATTTGAGTCTACAAGCAGGATGCTGTGGTGCTCATAGTTTTAATACACATTCAGGAAGGTAACAAAGACTGCTATTCTGGTGGGCCTGTAGCTTGTTACTGATAAACCTCCCCCATCTCTCTTTCCTTCCATCCCCAGCTCTTTGTAATTAAGTTGAGGACACCTCAGAGTTTTTTTCTTTCTCACCCCCTTTTCAGCCCTGCTCTGCAGCCCTTGCTCCAGCTGTGCCCTGTGGGTCCCTGGGGTCCTGGTGACCATGGATTAGCCCTGGCTGTCCTTCCTCCCCGGGATTAAATTTACTGGGAGGCTGCTCAGCCTCAGGCACTGTGTTGGTTCCTGGAAACCCAGAGGCTCCCGGAAGAGCTCCCAGGTGAAAGGGGGAGACAGCACAGGGAGAAATAAGTACAAGATACTGAGAGGAAGAGAAAGGCTGCCGCTTGAAACAGGCAGGGCCTGCCTGGGTAGAGGGCTCAGCAAGAAGTCTTCTGAACTGGTTTCTGACGGACGTGGAGGCACCAGACCAGGGAAGAGGAGCAAGGCCAAAAGGAATCAGAGCATGGCAGGGTATGGGAGAGAGGTCCAGAGCCTGGCTGGTGAGATCCAGATGAAGGATTGACCCCCCCCATCAGGACAAACACACACATGCACGTTTCTGGGGAATTCTGGAGTGTCCTTGGTCCCTCTGGCTTAGCCTAGGAAGAATGCCCTCCCTTTCCCCTGAGGAGCCCGCCCACCGTCTGCTTCACAGGCATGCAGGTTTCCAAGCTTTAACTCTGGACTTTGCACTCGGCACCGGCACCGGAAATTTACTTGTTTATCAGGGCCTCCAGCCTGATCAGCTACCTGCTGAGGTCTGTCCCTTCTAGGGGCCCCTGAGCCCCCCTCTGGATCCCAGCTGTATCCCCCACCGGTGTGGGTGGGGTGGAGGGAGCCTGTAGAAGCCGCCCTTGCTGGAGCCACAGCCTGCTGCCCGGTCCTCCCCTCAGCAGCGGCTTCCGCCCCACCCTCTGCCTCCCCAGGTGAGTCAGGCGGCGGAACTGGCCGGCCCACCTGTCCAGGTTCACCACCTGTCCTTTGCAGACCCAGCCGGAAGACACCTCCACCGACTGTGCACAGTTCCTGAAGGTGGGAGCAAAGTGGGGTGACACTGGGGGTGCGATAGAGAGCACCCAGGCTCGCCACGGATCCCCAGGAGCTTCTGGGAGCCGCAAAGAAACTACAGATCTGAGTGGGGCTGTGTGTGCGGATCAGAGGGGACTGTGTTTGTGTGACCTGAAGGTGTGGGGTGGCAGTGTGTGCGGGGGGTGGGGTGGGGTGGGCAGGTCAGTGTGGGCTGTGCGTGTAGAGGCCTTTCTGAGAAGTGTGTATGTGCCCTTGGGAGGCTGTGTGTGTCCATTCTTGGGAAGAATCACAGACACTGGGCCGGGAGGAAAGGAATAGGAGTAAAATCTTAGCAAAGTCGAATTGAATTCATTTCAATGTGACAAAGTCTCACTTTTAGAGGACTTAGTGCCTAGGGAGACGTTCACTGCAGGCAATGAAGGAATACTTGAGGATGAATCAAAGAACCGTGTACCTGTCCTTTCTGCACCCCTCCCCCACAGATACGCTCTCGAACCCCCCTCCCCTCTGTTCAGCTCAGCCACCTGTGCTCTGTGTGCACCCTGGAGACAGTCTATCAGCCCAGCCCTCACCCTCAGGGAGCTGCCTTTCTGGTAAAGGCTTGTTCTGACCGGTGACTGGGCAGGTCAGGGCAAGGGTCACCCAAGGAGATCCTGGGGCAACCCCACAGGGAGGATGGTCTGATTTGGTCCTGAGGGATGGAGACTCCAAAAAACTTGAGTGTGGCTGGAGCCAGAGGGCAGGTGAGCTGGGAGGGTTGTGTTGGGGGAAGGAGGGACTTGTGAAAAGGAAGAAGAGCTGGGCCTGAGGGCCACATTTGGGATTTCCAAGGGCTGAGCTAGGAATTCACATACACCCATGGGCAGCATGGGGAGCTTTGTTTTGGAATACTGTATTGCAGATTGAACCCAGGGCCTTCCCACTGAGCTACAACCCCAGCCCTTTTTATTTTGAGACAAGGTCTTGCTGAATCACTAAGTTGCCCAGGTTGGGCTTGAATTTATGAGATTCCTGTCTCACCTTCTACAGTGTTGAGATTATAGGCATGTACCACCAAGCCCAGTCTCTGGAAGCTTTTTAAGTAGGTGATAGGGTCCTGGTTGGTTCTGGGGAGTGGACTAAGATCAGGAGAGATCAGTTTGGGCATTGTGACTAGAGGTGCATGCTGAAGGTGGTAGGGCAGACTCGGTGGTTGCAGAGGAGGGTGCATCATTTGAGAGGCTCAGAGGAAGAGCTGATGGGGCTTGATGGCAGGTTGCATGTGAGGAATGAGGACATCTTTCAGGCATCTGTAATAAATAGTATGGCAGAGTGTTTCCCTAGCTACCTCCTAGCCTGGCCATTCTGCCCTGGGTTGACTGCTTCTGGGGCTCCACCTGTGGATACCGCCCACCCCTAGGGGATTCTCATCTGGGCCATTTCCTGGTTCAGGCTGTCCTGGTTGGGGTAGTCCCAGGTGTGAGCTTCCGTCTGGGGGCAGAGTGTTGTCGTGTCCACCCCCCCACACCCCCCACCCCGTGGGTAGAAGTGAGTGGACAGGGGTTTGCTGAAAGGGCTGATGGTTGAGGTGTGGTGGCAGTGGCTCCCAGCTCTGGAGCACAGGGGTGGGGCTGCCTTGACTGTTTGGGGCTGCTCCTGGGAGTCTAATTTTCTTTTCTTTTCTTTTTTTTTTTTTTTTTTGGTACTGGGGATCAAACTTGGGACCTTGAGGTTTCGAGGCAGGCGCCAGAACCACTGAGCCAAATCCCCGGCCCAGGGAGTCTAATTTTCATCCTCCTCTTCCTGTGGTCTGCTGTGTCTGGGTAGCCCCAAACAACTGCTGTTGTCCAACCTTTGGGAACTAGGATCTGCCTCTGCCCTTATTCCCCGTCCTCACCCCCTCACCTCCAGCAATGTAGCTGACTGGACTCTAGTGTCAGACAGAGTCCTGAGTTCAAATCTTGAGGCTTTGCTGGAGTTCTTTCACCTTTTTGAGCCTCAGGACCCTCATTTATAAGGTAGGGGTAATGTTCCTGCCCATATAATGGGGTTTTGTGAGCACATTGCCTGGTGACTGAATCATAAGGAGTTGCTCATCAAGTTCTAAAATTGATTATGTTATAGGAGCTTCTAGAGTGGAATCCCTTACAAATAAATGCACAACTGAGCTTGTTTCCCTTCTGTGGGCAAGGGGCCCAGTGCTGGTGCAGTGCCCCAAGATGGCTGTGAGTGTGACCTGGAATGTGCACCCTCCAGCTGTCCCTGACACCCATACCTCTATCTTCCAGGACTTGTGCCCTAGGGTTGCTTGGCCTCTGGGGGTCTTCCTGGAGCCAGGGCTTTTTCTGGCAGAGGTTGAGGTCGAGGCTCACTGATGTCATCAGGCCCCTTCATGAGGGAGGCAAACCAAAGTGAGTGAAGGAGGGTGGGTGGCTGAGGAGGGGGTGGGCTCCCCTCTGCTGCTAGGATTGGGAGAATTGCCCTGCCCACAGTCCCTTCAGTTCCCCCAGGAAACCCTATCTGGGGCCCACGTGTAATGCTGTCTCTTTCTCTGCAGCCCATATGGGGCCTTCGGAGCTCCCTACAGCATCAGCCATGGCCCCTGAACCAGGCACTGCAGGCCGGGCATGGCCTGTGCTGGTAGGGGTTGTGCTGGGGGCTGTGGTCCTCTCTGTCATCATTGCACTTGCTGCCAAATGCCACCTCTGCCGCCGATACCGCGCCAGCTTCCAGCACCACCAGCTGTCCAGGACAGGGAGTGAGAACCACCCTGAGGTGGGTGAAGAGGATGATGATGGCTTCATCGAGGACAATTACATTCAGCCCGGGGCTGGAGAACTGGAGACAGAGGGGAGCAGGGACCACTTCCCTCTCTGAGCCCTCATCTTTGGACACCCTCCCTTCCCTCCATGCCTGACAGGATAAGGACAGAGGATGCTGTGCTGGAGCTGAAAATCTCAGGGACAAAGGTGGTCAGGGCTTCAGGGGTGACCAGGGTGGAGCAATCCTCCATTCCTGACACTAGCCACCAAAGTGACAGTGACCCTCTCTCGATTCATAACTCCCAGTGGCTCCCTCCTGTTTCCAGGAGAAAGCCGAATAATGACAAGAACATGGAAGAAAAGCCCTCTGTGATCAGGTCTTTGTTAGCCCCTTAAGTTTCCTTTTTACCTTCCTTTGTTGTTGTTTTCTGGCCTTTACTTGCTGTTTGTTATTTTCCCTTCCTCACCATGCAGTTTATGCTCACCTTGGTTCCCTTCCTGGGCTGTCATGTTCTTCACCCAACTCCCCTCTGCCAGTGATGAAAATTGGCCACAACCCCCATGGCCTGCTTACCTGCTGGTCTTTGATATGTGCCAGGGTGACAGGTAGAAATCAGTGCCAAGTTTCTTGAAATTTTTTCTTATCAACAAAGTCAGTGATCTGGTTATAATATATTAGGTTTTTCAAAGGAATTAATAAATCTGTTTTCATTTGGAATAAGAAGTCATCATTCATTTGTATTTTTCCCAAACTAGGATGTATCACTCATAGTGGAAGACACTGCTTAGCCTTCCCGTCCGGCAGGGCACCTCCACGAGCCTTTCCTTCAGTCATACCTTGAGTTTCTCCCAATTGTGCAGGCCTGTTTTATTTTAATTGTATGACAGTTGGCACTTGCCATCACCATGCCTGTCCCCAAAGATAGACTGAGATCTCCAAGGTTGCAGGCTGTGTCTTACTCTGTATTCTCAGATTCTTGCACAAGGTGGATGTAAGGTGTATACATGCAGTTAGCCCTCCATATCCATGGACTCTGCATCCTTGAATTTAGCCAGCCATGGGTCAATAATGTTTAGAGAATAAAATTCCAGAGACATCCAAAAAATAAAACTTGAATTTGCCATACAGCAAACAGTATGATGAATCTACATGAATGAAATGATGGGTAGGCATGCTTTAGGCACTATAAAGTAATCTAGACTTGATTTAAGTATACAGGAGCATGTGAATAGGTCATATGCAAATCATACACCATTTTATATAAGGAACTTGAGTATTTGTGAATTTTGGTATCTGTGAGGGGTCCTGGAACCCATCCCTCGAAATACTAGATTCTGAAGAGCAGTTGTTTTTGTTGAATGACTGTGGGCTGAGGAGTGAATGGATTAAGGGTGAAGAAGTAGAGACACATGTGGAAGATATTACCAAGAGGAGGAGAAGGATGGGGTCATGACTGAGCTAGGGGGCAGTTTTAAGATGGGAGAGGTTTGAGTGCAGCTTTAAATAGAAAAGAATTTGGAGGGAAATCCTGACTACTGCATAGACTCAAAGGGACGGCTGAGGCAGAAAGCAAGCAAGCAGTCCCACCGGCTAGAGGTCAGGATCGTACCTGTAGCTCTCTGTCACTCAGGGGCATTGATGAGAGTCTCCCAAACTATGGATTCCAAATGTCCAGTACTCAGGGAGGAGAATCTGTTTAGGCAATTTGAGTCAAATATCTACCACTGGTTATGACAGGGGTGAGGTCTGGCTGGATGTATGTGGTTTGGGGAAGCCACTTATTTGTTTCAGATCATTCCTCTGGGGCAGTTCTCATGAGCCAGGTAGTGATCTCTCCATGTGTCCATTGGGATGCAATGTTGAGGGAAGGGCCAGGAAAGAAGGAAAGCAAGGGTCAGCTGACCCAAAGAGGGGCAGCAGAAAGGCAGGAGGCTCAGGGGGCCTGGAGTGTAGTATCTGAGGGTGCCCACAGCAGCAGTGAAGCCTGAGAGAACCAGATTGGTTAGGGTCTTGGAAGCCAAGATACAGAGCTCACTTTCCAGCCTAAGAGCTACTGAGACTCATCTGTTGACTAGTTTTGCAAGGAAGTGATGCAATCATGATAGAAAATTCATTCTGGCTGCTGTGCAGAGATGGACTGGGTGTGAGCTGGAGAGAGGTGGAAAGCTCTGACTAAGTGTGGCACAAGAACAGACTGCAGAGATGGGAAGGAGGCAGAGGTGACAGAACTTGTTGATCTTGGATGTGGGGAGCAGGGAAAAATCAGTACACTAACCCGGTTTCTGGCTCAGCAGCTGGGTACAGTGAAGAAGAGCAAGCTGGGGGAATGGTGATTCAATGTTGGGTGCAGCATTTCTGGGGAGATACCCAAGGCCAGCTGGTTCTCAGATTCACAGAGAAGTCCAGTCTGTGGTCATGGGTTTGGGGATACTCAGCAATGTGGTCACTGAAAGCAAGAGGAGCAGAGTGAGAGGAGGTACTGAGGATGGAGTGAGGACAGGGACTGACCTTGGAGGGGGACCTGGCAAGGGAGACTGGGAGGAAGCAGCCAGCTCAAGCAGCCCAACTCAGCAATCGTTTCTGAGCCCAGAGATGTCTGACCTGAAGGTCTGGGAAGAGCAGAGGCTGCCCCAGCCTGAGACACTGGAGGAGCATCCAGAGCAGTGGGCCTACGCTGCTGAAGGCACCCTCCGGCCTCTGAGGGAAGAGCTGCTGCAAGCGAAGCTGAGCCTGCCCCTGCCCTCGTGCTCCCTCACTCCCACCAGAGCAGCTGCCTTTGTGCGCTTCCATGCAGGAGAGGCTCACCCCCTACACACCCACACCATAAAGGAGTGAGAATGGCCCTTAATCCATCCTTAGCATTCTCTCACTCTCCCCCTGTTTTCAGATTCTTCAGGACCTGGGTCAAAATTCTTGAGAGGACCAGGAGAAGGCTGGGGGAGAAGGTAGAAGATAGAAGGTAGAGGACTGATCCCTGAGAAGCAGCTGCTTTTCCTGAGCCCACATCCCACAAAGGTCCATGAGTGAGGGGTTCCTCTTAAACCTGCCATTGGGACCAAGCTGGGCTGAGCAGAGCCCTGGCATCATAAACACCTTGGTCCCTGTCCTTCCAGGCCTCATTTGATTCCTCAAAAGAATCTGTTCTCACTGTGTTCTTCGTGCCTGGGCCCAGGCATGAAGAGGGAGCAGGACATGGGTCCAAGGCTCAGAGGGCCAGGGGTACTGGAATTGCCGGGAGGCCTGGCACTCGCTGGCACTCCCTGTGGTCTGGCCCCTTCTGGTGTCAGGTTCTGGCCCTAGCCTGCCTCTGCCCACAGCCCTGTGCCTGTCCTCCACTCCTCAGTAGCTCCACTACCCCAATTCAGACCTGGCTATGGAGGACAATCCAGCTTCCTGCTTTTTCTGAAGGCCAGGCCACATCCCTTGTCCTGCATGGAGAACAAAGACAGAGGAGTCACAAAAGCCACAGACATGAAGTAAGGAAACTCCAGCAGCATCCCAGTAGAGTAGCAAAGTGGTTTGAGAGCACAAGTTCCCTGGATTTAAATCCCAGCTCTGCCATTTACATGCTGTGTGACCTTGGGCAAGTTACGTAGCTCCTCCATACACTTAACTTCTTTTTGGTAAAAAAGGGATCATAATAGTATGTGGTTCACATGGTTGTTGGCAGGACCAAATGAGTTCTATACGTAAAACAGAACAGAGCCAGTGCTCTGCCAGCGTTAGCTGTGTCCTGAGCAGCGCGCCCTGGATGATACCTCTCCACAACAGGCAGGAGCATTAATCCTGAGGGGCAGCTTGCCAGTCCTCCTCCCTCTCCATTCACTTATAGCTGGAGACTTGAACTTCTTTGTTTCCCAGGACTCAGGTAAGAAGATCTGGTCAGGACAGCAAAGGATTTAGATTCTGATGCTATAAAATAACACGAGCCTCAGTGAGAGGATGGATATGGTTCTAGTACTTTCTTGCCACATCTCTGCTGGGCAGGTGACTCTGTTTTACCAGTTGAGATGCTGAGTTTCAAATAAGGTAACTGCAACTTGCCTGCCTTTCCCAACAATAAGGCCATTGTCCCACTTGGAAGAAAGGATAAAGCAGATTCAGAGAAACTCCTGGGTGTGGGATTCATCTCCTCCTGGCCTCATCTGGCTTCCCCTGACCCACTCCCAGCAAATGGGAACCCAGAAGTGTAGGGGGTACAAGCTCTAGGTTTGGGAGAGCAGGTTGTAAAGTGGAAGTCTCATGCCCTGTCCTTGCCCTTCTACATCTGGGGTCCTGTGGCCCCAGCAACCTCTGAGTCTATGCCCAGGGGAGCGTCCTGGGTCCTGGAGAACAGTCAAGGAGGCATCCTGTCTGGGGACAGGATGCTGAGCATGAGGCCGCATGTGCTGTCCCCTGGGGCCTGGAGGATGCTTCTCTAGGGAGACCAGGGTGTCCCCATGAGGCCTGAGGTGTCATGTGGGATGTGACTGGACATAGTGTAAGGACCTCCTTGAACCAGCCCTGAGAATCTAGACTTTGACTGTTAAGCCCAGGAGGGATATGTGTCAAGTGTCTTTCTCTCCACCTCACCTGTCACTTGAGTGCCTTTAAGTCCAGGCCACCCTACTCTGGCTCTCCATCAGCTCTTTCTTATCCTTCCTCTTCATTAAGTACCAGCTTAGATTTTGAGGTCCATGATTTCAACCTCGCCCTTGCCAATATCATCAACTTACCTGCCCCAGAATCTCACCTTTGTACACCTCTGGTGAAACTCCTCAGTGAGACCACCACTCCTGGGCTGGTATCCCAGCCTCTGGTGATGCCTGGTCTTCAGCCTCACATGGGCTTTCAGAAACCTTGCCGTTTCCTTGATCAGATTTCTCTCCTTTCTCCCTAACAGCTTTTTAAAAACTGCCTCCACTTTGCAGAGAGAATAGCTCTTGACTGGGGCCTCACTCAGTTTCCTGCTTCAAACCCCACACACTGACCCCCTGGCCCCTGCAGTCTTTCTTCTCTCTATTGATGTACAGCTGCAAGCCCAGTCCCTCCGTCTCTTGGTCCGGGTCCACCTGCCTCCCTCTGAGACCAATTTATTCTCCCCTTGTATCTTCAACCCTTCTTTTCCCAATGTTTAAACAATCACATTACTCCCATCTTAAAAGGCCTCTTCAGTTATCACAAAGATCTGTTGGTCCCACCTTGTGAATGTCCATCGAATCTGTTCCCTTTGAACTATATCCCACCAGCCACCCCCTAGTCTCACCTCCGTGTTTTACAGCTGAACTATGCATTCATTTCCCAACTGATTTCCCTGCCTCTATTTTCGCCCCTTCCAATTAATCCTCTATGTTACTGGCAGAGTCATCACCTGAATACACAATTTTGACTACAGCATCCCTCGCCTTAACATTCTCCACTGGCTTCCTCTTGGTCTCAAGAAAGTAACCCATCTGCCAAGTGGTCTCTGAAGTCCTGGGACTGGCCCAGTGCACCTCCCCAGCCTCACCCTCACCTCTTCCCAGCCCCCCACACCCTCATGGCTCCTCCAGGAGCCACAGTCCTCTTCTCTTTGGGCCCTTGTCTTTGTGCTGTTCCTTCTTTCTGGGATACTCTTCCTAACCTGTCTCACTTGGCCAGCTACTTCTCATCCTTCAGGGGCCTGCTGAGACAGTACTTCCGGGCTGTTCAGCCATTTCTTCTTCTTTTTCTCCTAAGGCCAATCCCCAGCTCCATGTAGCAGCCAGTGAGCCTGAATCCTATTCTGGCCACAGTACTCCCTTGATTAAAATCTCTCCATGCTTTTCGGGATCTGGAAGACAAAGTCCAGATGCCTCTGCTGGGCTGTCAAAGTCACTGAAGGGACAGCTGTGAAAGGGCAGGGCTCCTGTTCTATACTTCTATTATCTGAAGTGGGAGACTGAGTTATCTGCTGAGACTTGGCATGGGAGGAAAGCCCTGTGCAGATTTCTCTAAGAACCATCTCCCTGGGGAACAGGGAAGTACAGATGGGTGGATTCATCCAGGGAGGGGATTTTGGTGGGAGTGTGGGACCAAAGGGCAGGGGACTAAGGAGTGGAGGAGTCTGTTACAGAGTGCACAGAATGGAAGGCTACAGAGTCTTAACTAAATGATAAGGGAGGTGAAGATAGTGGGGGAAGTAACATCAGCTTTTTTTTTTTTTTTTTTTGAGATAGCATCTTGCTGTAGTTCAGGCTGATCATGAACTCACTGTGTACCCCAGGCTGGCCTCAAACTCTTGGTGGTCCTCCTGGCTTGGCCGCCCGAGTGCTGGGATTAAAGGTGTGCACCACCATTACTGGCTAAAGAAGGCATAGCTTTAGAAGACAGAGACAGCAGAAAGGCTACTGGACAAGCAGGGCTTTAGATAAATGCTTTGAGCAGCCAGAGAAAGGTAGGAGGTGACAGCAGGTCTGCTTTAGAGATGGAGGAGGAAGATGCATTTCTGCCTGCCTGTGTCTTGGTGTAGCTCCCGCTGGTTGCCTGTCTCATGTTACCCTCTGGAATAGTAGGTGCCATAGTCTCCACTCTGGATCCTTTCCTGGGCAGCCTCATGCTGGTCTTGCCTGTGACGCTGCTCAGTTAAACCTTCATGCTGCCTAAACCTCTCCTCGTCATCTAAGCCTCTTTTATTTTTCTTCTTTTAGTTTCTAAAAAGAAATATTATTGGCATCTAACCCTGTCTCAGCCAAAGGAAAATGGACTTCTTTCCATATGATAGGATGGGAGGGCATTCTGTGATTCTCTTAGCACCTAAGAGTTGGTATAGTGCTGGATATCTCTTGAAAACCCAGAAAGAGTGGAGATTTCTGGGCTAGAGAGCACAGGGAGGATGGAGTGGGATCAAGTGCACAGCGACCTATCTTCCTCTTCCTTCCTTCCCAGGTCAAGTTGGGTCTCCTGTTCCCACCTCCATCACACTGCTGTCTGCCCAAGTGATGGTCCTTCATCCACCCAACAAAGTAGCTATGTGTTGGGCCCACGTTAGGAGGATGAGCAAGCCAGACCAAACCTTCCTGGCATGAGCCCAACCCTTGATTGAGGTGACAGAGACACAGAAAGAATCCCAGGCTAGCGTCTGCAATTGAGGGTGCTATGGGCTTAGAAAAGGAACAAGGAGCTAGTTTAAGAGAAGAGGGTCAGGGAAGACTCCCCAGAGAAGGTGAGTCCCAGAGGACTGGGTCTTGAAGGACCAGAGGGCAAAGAGAACAGAACATGTAAAGGCTGGGACAAATGGGAGAACACATGAGTTTGTGGAAATGGTTTGGAGAACCATGGCGTTCTTTGAGGGGAGAGTGAGACTGAATGACGTCAGGAAGCCGGTGAGAAGTGGGGAGCCATGGAAAGATTTTCACACGGAATTCCGTTTTAGTTTTAGGGTGCTCATTCTAGCTCAAGCGTATGCCCGTGGTGGTTCAGAGAAGAAAAGAGCAAAAGTGGGGAGATTAGTAAGGAGGCAGCAGTACAATTCAGGCAGACAAAAGGGATTCCTTCTAGGTTGTGGGAGATTTGCATTACAGTACGAGGCAAGATTTATGGGGGGAATCAGAGGAGTTGGTAATTTGTTGTTGTACTGGGGACAGAAGACAGTGAAGGAGCCGCTATTATCTGGGACGACTCTGAGGTCTCTGACCTGGATGCTGGGTGACTGGTGGCATCTGGATACAGAAGATCTCCTTCAAGGCTGACAGGAGGGGATTCTGTTGTAAATGTGTGGAGTATGAGGCCTCAGGGAACAGGTTTCTGTGGTACTGGGTGTTCTTAGACATGGCCTGTCTTTTCCTCCCTCAGTTTGTATCCCCTCATCCATCAGCCTGGTGTTTACTCAGGAGATGTGCTTGCCTTGGCCTGCTGAAAGCATTTATCTCCCACCAATGTCCTCGAAGCTCTAGCATGATGTGTCTTAGGAGACAGGTCTCATCCCCCTGCCTCTCTGGTGTCCTCTCATCTGTCAAGTAACCTGCTCTTTGCACAGCAGGAAGCAGTGATGCAGTAACAAGCACTCTTGTGCCTGCTTCCAGTGGAGCTTGATCAGGAAATGTCACTGTCACCACAGAAGAGGTGCTCCCTTCCAGGGCTGCCTTCAAGAAGGAAGTGCCCTCCACCATGCCAAAGAGTTTCAAACACCCTTCCCACGCCCAGGAGCCCAGAAGCAGACTGGCTAGTATACTGACCAACCATATAGAAACAGGCTGCACTGGCTTCCAAGTGGGGCAGGGAGATGCAGCCTCCCCACTGCCCTCAGGAGGCAGTGAAGGGAGACTGAAAGGAAGGTGCAGTCTCGGGAGAAACCACCCCAATGCCTAAAGCCTCCTAAACTAGCATGTGAATCAATGGGAAGGACTCAGTTTTGCTACCCTTTCTCTGGGACTGGAAGAAGCCCACTGTCTTCCCAAACCTGCATATCCACTCAGCCCTCCCATCTCCTCTCCTGCCCCTTGTTACCTGGGAGGAGAAACCATGGGGTTGGCTGAGGACACCTTTCAAGGCATTGTTTATAAATGGTGGGAAGGGCTAGCCTAGGAGGGGTTGGGGTGTGGGGAAAGGAAGGTGTCTGGGGTGAAGATTATGACAATAGTAGCCCTCATTTTATTGCACATCTGTTATGAGCCAATCCTTCCATTCATGACATTTATTCCTCTCAGTTGATGGCAACCTGAACCTCAAGAAACTGAGCCTAGCAAGGCTAAATCACTTGCTCACATTGCCCAGCTGCAAGGTGATCAAAGCAAGATTCCACTCCAGGTGCATCTTAGTCTGGGGCCAATGTTCCCTCTGCTTTATCTGCAGAACTCGTCTCGATGAGCAGTCACTGGTGCAGTCCCAGGGGTGGGGAAAAGACATCTCTGTGGAAATCCCTGACAGGTATTACAAGGCGAAGTGGAGATGAGGGGTGTTGGGTCAGGAATCTTCAGGGGTCATAGACATTTCTCTGCCGAGAGACCCCAGCCCCAGACAGGCAGAGGGACAGTCTATGGACACAAACATGCAGTTCTAAGAAGGCACACACTCACTTTCCTGTACTACGGATGTATGGATGTACATGGGCTCTGGATCACACAATCCCACAGAAGGGCTGACATACACAGAAGGCCCTGGGATGGACACGGACACACGGACACACGGACACACACACACACACACACACACACACACACACACGCACGCACACCCTGGCACAGTTCTGGGGACACCAAGGAAAGTTGTGTGAAGAAGGGCTCTGGCTGGTCAGATGAGGCTGGCGATGCTGGATGTGGTCTCATGACGCTGGCCAGCAGACAGCTGTCCTGAGATGCTGAAGATGCTGCTAGTGCCACTGTGTGTGGCAGAGGCTGGCCCATGGAAGGGAGGGCAGTGTCCACTCATGCACAACTGATACAGCAGCAAGCCCAGTAGCAGGAATGAGCCCAAGGCAGCCAGGGCAATACCCACAGACAGCATGGCAGCCAGAGGCCGAGCAGGGGCAGGGGCAGCAGCCAGCCCAGCCAGGGTCAGACCAGTGACCAGCAGCACCAAGCCACTGAGCAGCACCACCAAGGCATCGGCCCCTCCACCGCTGCGCAGCAGGGCCACGTGGTGGGCTTGGCGGAGGCAGTTCATATCCTGCACGGCCGAGCTCATCAGCTGCTTTACCAGAACCAGCAGGGCCAGCAGGCAGAGCACGGTGCCTGTTGCCAGACGCCACTCACCAGAGCGGCTGCTGGTGGAAGACAGCAGTGCCACGCCACCTGCCCCACAGCCTGCCACAAGGCCCACAGCCACAATGAAGCAGAACAAGGAGCGCCGTGGCTGCTGGGACCACCACAGCTCCACCTGTTCCGCCAGCACATCTGGGGGCAGCTCCCGGATGGCAGAGACTTGGACTGGTTCAGACATGGCTTGGTCAGGCAGGGTCAGGACAGACGGTCAGTGTCAGGGGTCAGAGGGTACAGATCATGACGTGGTGCATCCACCACCTGCTTGTCAGCTGCAGGCCCAGAGCCTCATTCCTCTTAGCCCAGGCTGAGGTCACCATTACCTGCAAGGGCAAGGTCACAGTGTTACCTCCCACCCAGCGGACCCTCAGGGACTCACCTGGGAGCCTTGGGGAAGATCCCTGAGAATCCTCCCCAGTGTCCTCTGGAGTCTCCTCTGGGAAAGCCCCTCGTCCAGCATCCCCCCTTGGGGAGAGCCTCTCCAGTGCCCCAGGAGAGCTCCTTCCCTCTGCGGGGCTCCCCCCTTGCCCAGGCCCTGACCTCTCTGGCTCTGGCTCTCTCGGTCGCCTGTCCCATCCTGGCCTGCCGAGGGAGCTGGTGCCACAGAGGATGATGGGACCAACAGCCAGGGATAAAGCCTCATTCAGGATCAACTCACATGGCCTCAGCTGTCACCGCTGGTTCCTGGGAGGGAGTTGTGGAGAGGGAGGGTGCTGATGACTTAACCCTTCTGGAACCAGCAGCCTGACCCTGAACCTTCTCTCTTAGGGCTGTGTCTGCTCTTTCTCTGTGGGTTGGGATCTGACCCCTAACACCCTCCTCCCCCTAATCTCATCCCAGTCACAGCCTGACCAGCAATAAAAGATGCTGGTTCCCAAATACCTTGCCACCACCCAGATCTTCCTTCTGAGCCAATTGTCATTTTGATGTCCAGTCATCATCTCTCATGCCATGAGTCCCAACCCAAGCTTGTCATCTTACTCTAAACCTGCTTTTCCTCTGTTTCCACACGTCAGGTGGCATCACTTCCCTCTCAGCTGCAGGAGTTGCTCATCTTCCTCTGCCACACCCAATCCCAGGGCAGAGGCTCCTCCAAACATTTCTCCATCCAGTTCCTGGTCTCACCCCATTGCGCCTACCTCTTCATCCCTACCTGCACTGGTCTTCCTGCCTTTCCACTCCTCCCCACTCTCCCCTGCACTCCACCTGTGCCAGGCTCCTCCATGATTTATTCCAAGTGGTGCAGAGGAAAAAGGAGGACTCTGGACTTGAATCCCAGCCCAGTCCTTCCCGACATGGAAATGTGGGGAGGGACCTAACAGTAGTTGGTAGTCATTTAATCTGTCTCCGAGAAGACAGTCAACATGACTTGAAGCAGGCAAAAATCAGGCTGGCGCAATCCCTGCCCTCCAGGATCCCCATCTGCAGAGTGGTAAGAGCTGGGTGTGCATCGGCACAGGACCCGGGAAGCCAGGACCCTCGGGGAAGCTCTGACCCTCTGGGAGCCCCCTGAATTCACTTGTCAGAGCCTCAATCTCCTTTTCTGAAAACTGAGGACCACGACATTCATCTTGAGGGGTGGGGGGCAAATTATTTGATATCTTCATTTAGCCCACACTGAGGTTACCGCATGCTTTTTGAATAAGTGAACAAGATGTTTCCCCTTTCAAACAAGATGGTACACAGAACATGGGTCCTGTATTACTCCAGGAACCTGACAGAACCCTGCACAGGTTATATCCCAGGAGGCATGGGTCCTTCACCAGCCCTCCACTGGGTCTGCTGGGCACACAAGAGGACTTGGGAGGAGGCTATGCCCCCAACGGAGGTGGAGGAGGGGCCATGGGCGGGGTGTGGAGTCCTCCCAGCATTCCCCAGGGCTGTGGCTTGCTGGTCAGAAAGTGCTGGCAGAGGTTGCTCTGACTGTGGGGCTAGGCTGGGGGTGGGGTGGATGTTCTCAGGGGAAGAGCCAGGGGGAGAAGGTGGGGTAGAGTGGGTGGGGGACTGTGGGGCACTCACGAGAATGTGTTGGATCCAATTTGAGCAGGAAGAGCCCAGCAGGTGGGGTGCTCTAGCTCCGTTTCCGGGGAGACGCTTCACCTGCCTAACCTGCGCGAAGGTGAGCCTAGAGGGAGGGGGATTAACAGGTGGTGTTTCTAGGGCAGGGCCTGAGCTGATTGGCTGTCGTGGCACTGCTCCTGCTGGGCCGAGACATTCCTAGGGAGGGAGGGGCGTCTGTCAGCTGCTGTTGGACGCTGAACACAATTAGCAGACCTAAGCGGCAGGAGGAATGTTGTCCATCTGCCCGGGAGCCTGAGCCCTAGCCCAACCCCTAGCCCCAACCCCACTGTAGTTTTAGTTCCAGCCTCAAAACCTACCCCAACTCCAGCTGCAAAGTCTAACCAGAACTCCCAGCCCCACCCTGACCCTGCTTCCTTGCCAAACCCAACCTCACTTCCAGTGTAAACCTCAGCTCCAGCTCACACCTCTAACTCAAATTCTGGACTTAGGTCCTGGACCTCCAGCTTCATCCTCAGCCCCAACCTTGCCTCCCATTCCTGAGTCTAGTCCCCCAGACCCTCAATTCAACCTCAAACTGAGCCTCAACCCCAAAGACCAGCACCAGCTGATCCCCAAAGCAGGCCCAGTGCTGCCATCCTTGGCCCTTGCACTGAACTGGACCCCTCACAAGGCCTTTGTTCATTCTCCTTGGAGGCCTTGAATACCTGGCTGTGGTGGGTCTGCTCCCTGGGGCTGGGTCCTGCTAGGGGGGAGCGGAAGGAGGAGTAAAGGGCTTTCATAGGGAAGATCCTGAAATAAATGCCACACTACTTCCCAGGGTTCATGTGACCCCTGCCCTCTGGTTAGAAGGAGTGCTGTTGAGTTCTGTAGGGTGTCTTCCATTCTGCCTTCATCACTTTTGAACTCAGAGTTCCCTTTGCCCAGGATATTTACCGCTCCCCAGCCTCAGTCTGGTCAACTCAGATTCTTCAGTTGTGATGTCCCCTCCTCCAGAAGGCCCTCCCTGACTTGCAGCCTGATTTGGGTTCACTCATGGCCACCGTGCTTCCCTGACAATGGCTTTTCCTGCAACGTGCTTCATTGCCCTTTAGTATCTGTCCCTCTCTAGATGTGTGGTCCCTGGTGAGCGCAGGGGTAGTGCCTGTTTTGCTAACCGGTCCTCAGTAGCCAACACTCAATCGACTGCACATGGGGAATAATCAATAAGGGTTTGTTCAGTGACTGAGTGAATAAATGGAAGTGAGAATGGACCGGTGTAGAGGTTTTGGCAGGGAGCCTTAAGATGAGACAGGAAAGACAAGTTTGGCTCAGGCTGGGGGGTTGTTGGATCCCTCCAGGTAGCATTCGGACTGTGCAGGGCGACCATGGAGGGTGCTGAAGTGTAACAGGGACATGGCTAGGCCTCTGCTTCTAACCAGCAAGTCTGGCACCGCCCGTGCACCATTCTTGGAGTGGCAGAATGGGTTCTGATCGAAGGGGACACAGATCCTTTAGGACCACTTCCCTCTCATTCTGATGTACATAGAATGGAAAGAAAAACAAAGTCAATGTTATTTCCCATTATCCATTCCCCAAATGATTGCCCTGACCTGCTGCATTCCCCTTTGTTTGGACCTGTGGGGAGGACTAGGGGCAGCATGATCGTGGACTGTGAGCCCCTGTGTCACTTAAACTTTTCTAATAGCCTCCTTTTGGAGGAATAGGTGAGATCAGCACATGAAATAACACATTCTAGTCTCAAAATATATTTATTATTATTTTTATTATTTTGGTTTTGGAGGCAGGGTCTCACTATGTGGTCCAGACTGGCCTTGAACTCACTATGTAGCTCAGGCTGGCCTCGAACTCTTGTTGATCCTCCTGCTTCAGCCTCCCGAGTGCTGGGATTACAGGCATGCACCACCACGCCCAGCTTCAAAATATATTTTAATATATAAGTTGTTACTGAGCTATTTGAAAATCTTTTATTTTGTGTAAAGTCTTGAAAATTCAATGTGTATTTTACACACACTGCACTTCTGTTTAGGATAGTCATATTTCCAGTGTCCAGTCATCCTTGGTTTGTGTTGTGTCCCTACTGGGTGGCAGGGCTCTAAATGTCCTTTCCTGAAGAAAAGGATAGGGCAGTCTGATTGTTGTGGGGCAGGTCAGTGGCATGGTGTTATAGGTGTTCAAAAGGTTTGCAAAGCTTTATAAAGGTGCTCCCTCTATAATAAAGGGGCTCAGAGGAGCAGGGATTGCCAACTGTGGATTCCTCTTGCACACATCAGACATTTATTTACCTCCCGGTCCCAAGGAAGGGCCAGTCCCAGGCAGACCCACTGTCCAGTGGTCCCAGGCAGAGCTGGGGCAGGGGACTCATAAGATTTTGTTTCCATTTCTCTTTCCCTTGGGAGTTCAGAATGGGGAAAACAGTCTAAAAGCTTCCGCCGCCGCCGTGTAAACACTGACTGGGCAAGCCTTTGTTCCGGATCTGGGACTTACCAAGTGACTTGTAGTTAAATGGGCCGCAGGTTCTGCGCAGGGCCGTTAAAGCAGAAGTCACAGGGGCAGCTCAGGTGGGCAGTGAAGGTCAGGGGAGGAGGTGGCCTGGGAACTCCGGGGAAGGTGTGCATTTGACTTGCCCTCAGGTGCATTAGAAGGTGGTGGGGAAAGTGCTGGGGGGGAGAAGAGAGAGCCTGAGGGCCCATTTCCCTGCATCTGCCTTGTTCCTGCCTCATACTATGCTTGTCCAGGAAGCTGGAGTAATATTACAAAGAATCAACAAATGGGATTACAAATGAAAAAGCTTCTTTCTGCACAGCAAAGGAAACCACCGAGTGAACAGACAACCTACAGGATGGGAAAAAAATTTTGCCAGCTACTCCTCAGGCACAGGAATAATGTCTAGTGTCAGGAGAATTTCTACATACATTTTGGGGAAAAATCATTTCATAATTAAAATACAACTCTAGCTGTCTAAGGCTCAATGTCACCTTGCCCGAGAGCTAGCTATGGCATTCAGAAACACTTTGCCTTCTGTCACAGCTGAGTCCTCAAGGTTCTGATGATGCTGTGGCGCTTAATAGCAAGACTGCATCAGCTGAAGACATCCTGGTTCTTCGAGAACCGAGTAGTGATACAAAAGAGAAAGGTTTCACCTGACGAGAGACTAATTCCTTGTCAAAAACTCATCCTGCCCAGCTTTGTAAGAATGCTCTCCCCACAGTACTCCTCAACAGAACAACCTCGTGACTTAAGATCCTCATCAGCTTGGGAGTCCTTGTCATTGCTCACTCTGAGGCACTGACCTCCAGCCCTCCATATACTTTGAAATTATGCAAATCTCTATTGTCTTTTTTCTTTTGCTCTTGCCATCCCCCTTTCTAGGTAGCCAGAGGATTAATCTCCCTCTGATAATCTAGAATATATAAAGAACTAAAAAAAATCAGATCCCCCAAATTTAAAAAGTCCAAAAATGGGCACCTGAAATGAATAGACACTTCTCAGATGAAGAAGTACAAATGGCCAATAAATACATGAAAAAATGTTCAACATCGCTGGCCATTCAAGAAATGCAAATTAAAACAAGACTTTTGCCACCTGCTGTGCAAGTACAAGGACCCGAGATCGATCCCCGATCCCATCTCACTCCTGAAAGAATGGCTATCAACCAGTAACAAATGCTAGAGGGGTTGTGGAGTATGGTGGGGTAGGGGCAAGGAATGCTTCTCCATTGTTGGTGGGAGTGTAAATTGGTACAGTCACTATGGAAATCAGTATGGAGATTTCTCAAAAAACTAAAAGTAGAGTTACATTTGACTCAGCTGTTCCCTTTCAGGTACCTTCCCGAAAGGGTTAAAGTCATCATACTCCATCAATGAAAACAGAATGGAGAATGTTAAACAAGACTGGACTTCTAGCCCCAGATTCACTAGCATGAGGCTGTGTTCACCCACTGTGCAGTCAAGAAAATACCCTGCTGATGTGCTGGCCGAGGTGCCAGCTTTTGCTATGGTAGGGGTTTCCCATAGCCTGGACTTCTGCCTCCTCCTTCTTACCAGCAGGACAGCAGCTGGGTTTATGTAGGCCCAGGTTAGCTTACCTGGGAGTTTTCAGCTCTTTTTCTTTCTGGTTTAGACTCTCTAGGGGTTACATTGTACAGCCCACCATCTGGTCTGTGGAATTTTTGCTTGGATGCCTCTTCAGTGCAATATGTAAAAGCATGGGATTTGGAGTCCTTCGGGTGGATGGGGCTACAATTCTGGCCTTGTCTGTGTGACCATGTGCTAGTTCATTTGCTACTCCTTGGTTTTGATTTCCTCATTAGTAAACTGAAGTCCATCTTGTGGGTGAAAGATGATGGCCTGACTCCTAACATATGTTTTAGTTGAATTTTCATCATTTGAATGTGGATGTATCCTGGCCACAGCAAATTTCCTTCTGGTTCTCAGGAGGGCTCCAGTTTCCTCTGTGTTTTTCTTCTTCCCTAGGCAGGCTCCCTCTCCCCTGGCTTGGCTAATTCTCTCCAGTCCTTAAATTGGAAGTGTTTGCTCCTCTTCCTCCCTTCTGCCATCACCTTGGTCCAAGCCACTGGCCTGTCACAACTGGACATCAACAGCTTCCTTCTAACTGGTTCCCTGCCTCTACTATTGGGTGTCCTCAATCAGTGCTCTGCACAGAAACCTAGATGAGCTTTAGATGCTGACACAGCTCTTGCCCTCATGGAACTGTCCTAGCAGGAGAGTCAAGAATTAGAAAAGTAAATGAACATGGTGTGGTGGGGGTTATGAAGAAAAACAACATGGCAGGTGTAATGTATATGGGAAGGGTCAGACACTGACTTTCTGAGGAAGTGACATTCTAGCCAAGATCTGAAGGAGGTGTGGGGGCATAAAAGCATCTCAGGCAGAGGAAGCAGCATGTGGAAAGATCTAGGGGCAGGAAGACCATGGTCTACTATAGGAGTTGCAAGGAGGCCAGTGTGCCAAGAGTCTGGACAGCAAATGGCAGTGACTCAAAGCATCCTAGTGCTGGCCTCTGGACTCCAGTCTGAATCTTTGATGTGCCTTCAAGGCCCTGAATGTTCTGGCCCAGCTGACTCCATATTTCCCCTAATCTCATTTTAATCCAGTTTCTCCTGTAAAGATAAAGTCAAGATGCTAGTTTGGAATGGAGAAGTTTGAGTCCCAGAAGATCCCAGCCACCTGGTGTGATAATGTCTTTGTGGCAGAACTTCTCCAGGTTGCCTACATTTTTTTTCCTGCTTTTGGAATCTGGTCTCCCAGAGAGTAGAGGACCTGATGGCATGGCACAGATGAGCTAGCTGCTGTGAGAGGGATGTGGAGCACTTTGCTTTGTGGCCTCTGCCAGGAACCCTCTGTTTACTGCATCTGCCTTCAAGAGAGTCTTGCCAAATGGGACAGCTAATTCTGAACTCTTGCTATGGAAACTAACCTAAGATCAGGGCCAGAGTGTAGGTAAAGCAGACTGAGGAAGGTAGGAAGCCTTGTCGGTGACAGACTTAATGAAGCCCCACGGGACCAGCAGGGACACAGGGACTGTGGGCTTAGATATTTATTTGGGTATTAGAGGGGCACCTTGTCTCTGCAGGGAGAAGCCAGGGAGGGACATCTGGCTTACACTTCTTTGCTCTTTAGTGCATAAAGAAGTATCTTTGCTGACATCTGTGTGTAGCTGGGTGTCCCAGAATGGGGCCTAGAGGATAGTAAGAGGGAAAAGAGCCCAAGAAATGGTGGAGCTGGGCAGGCCCTGCAAAACAGACTGTAACTCTAGGGTGACATAAGAGAAAGAAGGGCAGAGCTCCACTTATAGTCTTAAGAGCAGCATCCACAGGTAATGCAAGACTTTGGCATGTTCATGCAGTGGTGACTCAGTTCACAAATGCTTTTATTTGCAAATAATTTGGTTGGCAAACAGTAGCATTTGGCAAAATTTTATATTTGTTTGTGAACTCTGCATCAGGTGACAAACATGACCTTGGTCATCTTTCCCACAGGAACGTGAATATGGCCATCTTTTCTAGAATTGTGGAACAAATTAAGTTTGTGAACTGAGGCATCACTGTATTTTACTCTCCTCCTTTCCCTCATTTTTACACTTTTACACAAATCCTCAGAAAGTCTCATTATATTTCGAAAAGAAAAGAAAAGAAAATATAGGAGGCTTTGGCCCTGACCTGGCTGGGAGAGAAGAAAGCCAGGAGGGAGACAGCAGACAGAGTTATTTAAGCTGGGAGCAGGCAGACCATCCTGAGGCCCAGAGGACAACAGGTAGGAGGAAGCCAGCCCCAAGTCCAGGGCAATTTCTGCAGTGCTGAGTGCACACAAGGACCAGCAGTAATGGCTTTGGTTGAGCTGCACTCTCCCAAGCCTCAGGGACAACCCCCCCCCCCGACCGCCCACTCCTGCCCCGGCACCAGGTGAGCAGAAGCTGGACACGGTTGTAGGCAAACACCTTTATTCTGACTGTCCCCAGGTCCCCAGGGCAAGAGAAAGAGCTTGGTGCTGCAGGGACTACAGAGACTCCAGTGCAAGGCTGGCCGGAGGACAGACACACTGTGCTTCTGGCTGTGGATGGAGATAGCTCACCAGGGGGATTACTTGGTCTTCACCTCAAAATCCGCATCTGGGTCTACAAGGGAAGGAAGTCGAATTCCAGCAATGGTGTGAAACCCTGGCACTTGCTCTTGCTCCTGGATCTGGTCTCTGAGGCGCCGGATTTCTAGGCGTTGCATTTCAATGATTCTCCCAGTTTCTTCTTGCTCATTCAGTCTCATTGTGGCAGTGGCAGTGGGCATGTCCCTGCTGGACACTGTACGGGACAGAGCAGGAAAAATGTGGCCTGTTTACTGATCTGCTGCATTCTCTTCTTTCCCCACTCCCCAAACATTCTTTGGATGCCTACTGTGGGAAGACACTCAATCTTAGGTGCTGGGAGTACAGAGGTAAGTAAACTTCTTTACCATTTCATAGAGAGACTGAGACATTAAGAGACACTTGGGAGTGGTAAGGTGGAGGCTGAGGATGACCCCGGTCCAGGTCCCCTGAGTGCCTGCACTGGGTCCTGTCCAGTAGAGGCTGTTTTTTCCCATTCCACACCCATCAGGCGGGGTGGCACTCATGTGCAGCCCCTGCTCCTGGAGACAGAGAACTCTGAGCCCCTCCTGAATGGCCACCCACTGGAGTTCCCTGAGGGCTTCTCTACTCCTGGCTCTGTCATTTCCCTGTCTCAGGTTCTGCCATCATCCTGGGCAATATCAGCATCCATTGGGGCCCATGGCTCATCCTGTTCCCAGCACTAGTGACCAATACCTCCACCTCATGTCAGCACCCACTCTGGGCTTCTCCTCCTTACCCAGGATCCTGTGTTGTGTACATTGTTCGCTCTAGTACGCCATTCTCTGACCACAACCTCTCCGCTGCCTTACGCTCTTTGGCTGAATTGTGAACTCTTGTTCGTGGACAACTTCATCCTTCCCCCCAAAATGGACTCCTTTTCCATTCATTTCCTTTCCTGGCCAGTTAGACGCACTGTGACTTTCTTCCTCCATTTCTTGGACAGCACCCTCAGTATTGGAACTGCTGTGTCCTTCTGTCTCCAAATGTTGATAGGTTTTACACTCATAGTCACAAATATTCCCACCCCCCACCATAGCACGTCTGAATTTCAACCTCCATTTCCTCTCCCTCATTCTTAAGGAATGGCCTCGCCACCTCTCTCCAACTCCCTGAAACTGTCTCCATCTCACTGAACTGAGTCAAATCTCAGTGGAAAAGAGGTCTCTCCTCACCACTGCCAACCCTTCCTGTACATCTGGTGGGGAAAACCACCCCCAGAAAAACCCAGAACAGATGGGAAAGATTTTCAAGGAGGAAGTGATCAGCAGTGGTCAGCAGCTGGCCTTGCCATGGGCCTCTAATTGGCCTAATTAAGCCAGCATTCAAGGAGCACTTGGCTTATCCCTGCCTTCTTTTCAGGAGACAGCTGGATCCTCTCTCTCTGCCTCTGCTTTTTGCCTTTTCTGTAATCTCTAGGCTCTTGATCTTCTAGCTTTTCTTTTCCTAGATCTTTTTCACATTGTATTCATCACTTTTTTTTTTTCTGGACCTTGCACTTGAGAGGCAGGAGCCAGAACCACTGAGCTAAATCCCCGGCCCCTCTTTTCCTAGATCTTGACCCTTCATCCTCCTTCTGCTCCTGGTAGCCATCCCATTAGTCAAGCTGTGCCCTGGCCCTGGGACCCTGTGAGCAGTGTTCCCCTGGGAGGTCCAGGAAATGCGTCTCTAAATCCATCTACTTGCTTGGTCCTGGATCGCTCACCTCTGCCTCATTTCTGCTCTCCTGTCTACATGCTTCCTCAGCCACTTCCTGTTTTAAACTAAGCTCTGTGCTCTCTCCCACCAACTTTACACACAGCTACTTACCCAGTCACTATCTGGCTTCCCAGGGGACCCCAACCTGTGTGTGAAGCCACAGTCCTAAAGGTACTCAGTGGAGTGAATCTGAAAATGTCCCAACACTTGAATTCCTCTTTCTGCCAAGAAAGTGCACCCAGGGGTGCACTTGTGCCTCCTGGGAGAGCAGCTCGTGTGGAACTTGGCCCAGTGGACCCAGTGTTCTGCCTTGGTTCCCGGTCAGTCTCTCATTCCGGTCTGTGAGCATCTTGAGGGCATGGGTTGTGGTTTTCCTCCATTTCTTCCCTTTACTCCTAGGATTCTTTCCCCATTCCCTTTGACAATGACCTGTCTGCTCAACATATTGTGATTCAGCCTCATGGGGGGGGGAGGGCCCTTTGATGGCCCTGCTTCCATGTGCTGCAGCTGTGTAAACCCTTCTGTCCTCCTTCTGTGACTGTATGAAATCAGTTCTCTCATGTGGCCCCACCCTTGCTTCTCCTCACATCTCCAATCTCTTCTTTTCCTTGCTCTGTCCAGAGCTCTCCTCAGTCTCCCTCTCTGTATTTTGCCCACAAGTTGCCTCCAATAGATTAAAGTGTATTTCTGATTAATAATAACAATATTATTATGGTTAATTATTTGCAGTGTGTACCACTGAGCTACACCCAGCACCCAAAGTTTGATTTTAAATGACTGAAAGTAAGAATGTGGTTATGGGTTCATTTGGACTCATTTATCTTTTTAGAAAATTTTTTTGGGACCGGGGATTTAGCTCAGTGGTTTTGCCGCCTGCCTCGAAAGCGCAAGGTCCCAAGTTTGATCCCCGGTACCGAAAACAAAACAAAAAAAGGATCCTAGAAAATTTTTTTCTACTTTGTGTATTTTCTTTCTCCCTTTAAAAACTTTTTTTTTTTTTTGGTACTGGGGATTGAACTTGTGTGCTTGTGCTTGTGAAGCAGGGTGCAAAACCACTGAGCTAAATCCCCGGCCCATCCCTTTAAAAACTTAAAAAAAAATTTTTAGTAATGTTTCCCTTTACTGGTTTGGAAGGTTTTCCCTCCTTTCATTTGTCCCTCTGTTCCTTTTACTACCCCCGCAATTACTCTAAAAAGTTTAACATGCAAGCTGGGCGTGGTGGCACATGACTATAATCCCAGCACTCAGGAGACGGAGGCAGGAGGATTGCCAAGAGTTTTAGGCCAGCCTGGACTACATAGGCAGACTAAATAAATAAATAAATAAATAAATGTTTAACATGCACATTTAACACAAAAGATTCCAAAGTAAATCAATATCTTGTAAAACAGTACACAATTTAGAATGCTGTAGCTCCAAGCCCTTCTGGCTTATATG